ACCCCCCCCCCCCCCCAGCCTCCCCAATTCCATCACCGATTCACCCCCACAGCCTCACAACCTCAAGCACTCCGAACCCCATAACGCCGACCTGCAACGCGCCCATCGATGGCACGAACCTCATCATAGCCGCGCTCTCGGTCTCGGTATCGTTGTCAGAGCCTGAATACCTTCCTTTGGGCTTTTTGGGCTTTTTAGGCTTTTTAGGCTTTTTGGGCTTTTTGTCTTTTTTCTTCTTGTTGTTGTTGTTGGAGCGAGCGGCGAGGTGCGAGTGCGCGTCGGTGTAGGTGTGGGCGGCGCGGGCGGTGAGTGCTTCGTTGCACTGTTCGATTGATGCGTCGGTGAAGGGAGAGGAGGGGGTTGCTGTTGCGAGAGTGGCGAGGAGGAGGGTTGGTATTATGAATTTCATCTTTGATAAGATGTATTTTTTTGTTGTTGGTGTTGGTCTTTGACGAAGAGAGACTGAGGTGCAGGAGCGTTTTTACCCACGGGTGGGTGTTTTTATCAATGGTAATAAGGGCTTTTGACTAAAGTGCTTGGTATGAATGCTGTTGGTGGCTTCAACACCAACTGACTGGTGGGCTAGCGGAAGGAAATATTGAGGCGCACGATGTTATATAGTACTACTCATCCCACGATGCAAATTGCACGGCCCGTTTACTCAAGTCGAGCTGTTCACACCCTTTACAACACACCCCTTCTGCACTGCCTGATATTTCGTGATCGCCTTTGAATAACACAGCCTGTTTAAGGCCAACCGCGACACACATGGTATTATACTGGCGGTCTGTAACTTGATAGCATTCAGACCAATCAGAGATAAGGTGACCCATCGCCGCAAGCCATGGAATTTAGGCTTACAGCTTAGCTTCCTTAGCGTGTCAGCTGAGTAGGTTAATGATCCTATGTCGGAGTGTTAAAAACATGCTTTGCCAAGCTTCTAGACTTGCAGTTCAGCTGAGAACTCACAGTAGTATTTCCTGTAAATGCTTAGTGTATCATCAATGAACCTTGCTGGAAAAAGAGTTGTGTGAGCCCTCCCTACGCACGGCCAATCCTCAGTGTGAAGCAAGATTGCCGAGATTGGAACTGTTGCAGACTGGATGGTAGACGGCAATGTTGTTCGCATTTACGAAATACTATCTTCGTCCAGCTACAAAGAGATTGTTGTTTAAAGATCGCTGGAACTTCAAATCAGACTGCGTATGGTGCTTAGTTGTGCCCTTCTGCATAATGAATAAGCCGGGTTTCATTACTGAGCACGGCCCTTACGACCGCGACGACCCATATGATACTGAGACCTTTTGCTTATCATCTGTATGCATTGGCACTCTGTCTCCGGAGGGGGATACACTAGAGAGACGGATTTGCTGGGTTCGGGCTCGCGATGATGGAGAAGTAACACCTCGCATTGCGGTAGGAAAGAGTTGTCGCGCCAAGGGTCGGATAGCTGGAATGCTGACCGATATGATTCCAAGACTGCACTCACTCACACTCAATATGAGACATGGTGCGCTCTCATCTACAGAAGTCAGTCAGCCATTTCTCTCTCGCTGTCAGTCTGACCAACTGTTTCTTGATCTGTGCTGGCGTGAATCTTTTAAGTGAAGACATCGAGAAACATCATTGGTGCTTTGGCAAACGCCAAGATGATATTCGTAATGAAAAAGGCCTTCTTACAAGTGATGTCTAAAGCATGGAGATTGTGCAGAAAGCCAATGCGAGTTACTCCTAATATGCACGCACTACTCATACTCAGTACATGTTGAGCTTGGAATCGTGGGACTGCATACCTTGCACCTCCTCCTAATAGCATACAAAGAATGATGCGTTGCTTTCGCGACATGTCCAATCTCCAAAAGTAAGGCAAAGGAAGTACACAAAGGGCAATATCAGTAATTACGTTCACCGCCGAACTCGCGTACAAATAGGCGATATAGTCAATACATTTGCGTTCGACTGTGAAATCCCAAGCTCCATAGTATGGGAGACATTGAAAAAAAGTAACGAAGACGCCTACGCACAGAAGAGTCAGTGGTGATAGGGTGAGGTGGTGATTGATGCGCTTTACCTGTGATCCACAAGCCAACAACGGGAAACATGGTCACGTACATGCACGTGTGGAATTTTTGGTCCGGGACGAAACGAAAATAGGAGGATATAATCGCGAGTTTCGTCAACGCGATCGCACAGGCGTATAAAATTTGGCAAATGTAAAGATCCTGCTCCCTGTCAGTGTCATCGAGTCACATAGATACTCTCTTTACGAACTACTCAGTTTAAAGGAGAAAGGTTCACACACCAAGATAATACTCTTCAACTTCTCAAGGACGTCTAGTAGAGGAAGGACCCAAATATGTTGACCAAGCCCGTGAGTGGTTGCTGTTGCGGTGTTACTAATTATTACTCCACTTCAAAGGGACCCCCACTTACACACGATGCATGCCGCGGCCAGAGCTACCGTGAATAACGCGGCAAATATGATGAGAACTACGTTGTGTGAGCGAATAAATCGAAGCCTTGTTGTGTACATACCGTCATCAAAGAATATTTTGTGGACGTATTTGAGTCGTGCAACTATGCGTAAAGCAACAGTCACGAGTACAAGGACAATTATTATGGTACATGTTATCCTGACAAAGGGTACGTTGGAGGAATGGTCCTGGAAATTGAACTGGCTGATGTCGAACTCGTAATCACCAAAGAGCGAAGTGCCATTACCGAGCGGACTTGACATTGTGTGATGGCTCCAAACTGGCTCTGGTCGAAAATATAGGTATAGTCAAGGTGGATCCTACACTGATATCAGTGTGCCTACAAAGAGACCAGGCCGGGGCAAGCTCAGGGGAGTATTTGGTATAAAGGTACAGAGGTGTGTTATTTTGAGTCAGTGCGTAGGTAGTGGACGTCACATCTAGCTGGGTTCCTAGGTCGTTCGCGTATCATCAATAGCGGCATCCAGGGTTTAGTGTCCTCGATGTTCAACCAAAATGATCGACGACGAAAACAATGACTCGCATGTACGACCAATTATGTGATGGCGGAAGTGACTAGAGAATGGCCTCTGCAAGTTTCGAATGTGGGTATAACTCTAGTCCAGACGGCTAGATATATGCAAGCGCGGCATTGGAAAGTTAATTGTCCCTAGATTCCCCTGAGATGACCGACCCAGCAGTAGGTTCATAACGTAGAAGCCCGCAAGCCCGTCTGTTGGGCGAGTGATAACTGGGTTGCACAAATGAAGTTTCGCAAAGCTGCATCCGTCCAACCTCCGCTACTCAACAGCATCTATATTAAGATGTCGCAGGACAACGACAGCCTAGTAAGCTGGTTGTCATTTTCGCAACATGCTTGAAAACAAGACATCTTGCTTAGTAATAGGACATGTTTCCAGAAAACGTTCATCTGTTTTGTTTGTGCTGGATGGCAGCCACACCAGCTTTCACAGAAACACGGAGACCGCCGCAGGAGTCAATAAGCCGGTGCCCATAAGCGCCTCTGTTTCTTTAGTTAGTGCAAGTGATAGTTTCTGGTACGCCAGAGCTTGTCCATGCCGACGGTTCGTCGGAAACAACGGCGACTGACGATTGGCGACTGACGACTGCAAGGTTAGCCATGCATCTCAACGATGATTGAAACAAGAGAGCGACGGCGTTGGCGAGGTGAGATGTGAGGTATGTGTGTGGTGTATTTGTGTGGCTGGGGAAAGCCTCAGGACGAAAGCGGGAGGGTCAGCTTCCACTCGCTTTCCGGCCCCAAATTCAGGGCAAGCGTCCCGCCCAGCCGGCCTCTTTCATCTGTCAAATACCAACTGGTGCTCCGCGCTGAATACGTACAAATCCTCCCGATTACCAAATACAGGCACCACATACCAACTGCCCAGTATATGTATCGGCATTTGCCAGGTCCAAAGTAGAGTCGATCTTCACAACTTCTGTCGCGACTGATCACGCGGAGTTTCTATTCACTCGAGCATGACTCCAACACATGTACATACTTTGGCACCTCCAATTGCCGTGAAGCTGACGCGCGCCTCTTAGTATAAGTATTACTTGACAAACGTTGATCTGGACGTCATGGCCGATCCGCCTTCTCCGCAAGCATACCAAGAGCGAGCGAGCGAAAATAGCGCCGAGCCGTTGTCTGTTACGATACTCGCACTCGCAAACAGCAGAGGATCATCACGGCCTTATCTTTCCTGTCGCTGGCGAGTTACGTAGTAATAGCAGCAGTCTGGTCCCGACAACTCAGATGTGAACATCATCGCCCCCCATGCTCTATATCTGACGACTGGTTACTCGCTGCTGGTTGCTGCCCATTCTTGGCTTCCCTACCATCTCGCCGCGAAGCCCCGCCTGCCGCGTAACCCCTCAGTACTATCCCAGACTTTTGAGCTACCCATTCGGAACCACTGCGGTATGCTGCCGCATTCTCGCAGGTACTCTGGCTGAGTACTCGGGCGCCAAGATGGAGTGATTCGAAATCTTGCTGAGGAGAAGGGTGGCTATGTCCACGACAAGACGCGCTACAAGTGCCGAGTCCAATTGAGCGATGAGCGCCACGCCGATGCCTATGCTTGCGCGCCAGGATTACTAGGTACACTTCACCAGGCTGTACACCGCGCCCTGGGCGATACCGCCGTCAGTGTTCAGAAGTGGGGTAACTCCAAGGTGATCTTGTTTTTAAACAGGTCGATAAAGGTTGGGGCCCCCTTGACTACTAACCTTGATGCAAATGGCAAGATCGTCACATGACGGCACGTAGCAATCTCATACATTAATATACCCTCTATCTGCAGGATTAGGTTGTCCTCAACGCCTTCTCCATCTTACAGCCATAACCTCTGCCGCCATGGCTAATTTCGCGCACCGTGTCTCGTATGTGGTGAGAGACAAGGACGACGATGATGACGACCCGAAGCCAGGACCACCGCCACCCAAAGAAACAGAATCTCCTCAAGCCGTCTCTGCAGTTCCACCCACCGCGACCGAATCCCTGGCCAATACTGCTCCATCATCGACATCTGCAACATTGCCAACGCCACCAACACCAGGAGCACCAGAAGCACCAGGAGCATCAGGAACATCAGGAACATCAGGAACATCGGCAGCATCGGGAGCATCGGGAACATCGGCAGCATCGGGAACACCGGGATACTCAGAAGGATCGAGGTCATCAGGGGACAGTTTCGGCCCGGCAGAAAGTGCAGGAATCGGTGTCGGAGTCGCCCTTGCACTACTTTTCCTAGCCCTAGGAGCATGGTTCTTCATACGCCGCAGACGAAAGCGCAGATTGAGCAAAGCCTCGCTCGGCTCATCAACGCCTGATACCGAAGCCGGCTTCGCAAACAAAGAGTACGGCGCACCCAGCATACGAGAGATGGAAGCCGGAAGGCGAGCGTCCGAGCTGGCTGCCCATATGGGCCCAGTCGAAGTTCCAGGCGACCCAGAGTTCGTGGCCGAGCTAGAAGGCTCAGATGCCGCTATTGGGGCGGTCGCAGAGAAGAAAGATCGCGAGCGTCTCTTTGCTGATGCGCCGCTCGATGAACCAGGTGACCGTGATGAGTTTGGGTTCAGCAGGAATAACAGCAGGAGGAGCGATGTCAAGGGCGCCATCGATTTCAAAGGCTCCGACGTCAAGAAATTTGACTCCTAGGGGGAAAGGGACGTACCGCCGCTGAATCCCCTCATAATCCGTACGTAGATGGCGAACGGTTTACGAATATATATAACGAATTTGTCTTGTTTCCCTCTAGCTTTCTAGGTCCTCGAGAAAGCTTTCATTTTTTTCCAAGTCCAGAAGAAGGGTGGCGGGGAGGAAAACCGAGTTTGATACGGGCATTTCTGGAGATTCTTCTACTAGCTCAGCATACGTTACATGCCTCGTATTTACTTTCATGATTGAGAGATGGCTTTATCTGTCTTGGCCTTCATGGGGACACGCTTCAAGGCACGTGTCCGGCTGGAAAGTGGGTAGTTGCAGGTGGCGATATCGGCGAGGCGCCTCGCGAAGAGAGATCCCACGACGAGCGCAGCAGCGGAGACACATCGCCGCGAGTGGTTCCTGGCGGCGATACCATCAAGAGAGGTACACTCCACCGCGTCACTTCGTTATTCGGCTGTGCGGGATCAGCCTCGGATACCGTGTTCCAGTCTTTCCATTGCTTCAGCCTTTGCACGTACAGCTCTTCTGCTTCTTCCGGCGCATTCTGGGGTTTGCCAGCTCCATCTACTTCTTGCGGACGAGTATCGCCATGGAGTTCGGGTGTTTGTCCTGCGTCGAGCTCATGGATTATATGAGCGTCGGCTTCAACGGGTGGTGGAGGTGGTAACGTTGCTACTGGGAGGACGAGTGGGGGCGCATGCGGCCACCAAGTCTTCTCTTGTTGCGCTTCGACACCTCCTGCTTCTTGTGTCTGTTGTTGTAATCTCTGGGCAAGAATGCGGTTCCGTCGTCTGATGGCCAGGAAAGCGAGGATGGCGATGAGGACGACTGATACAGAGCACGCTATACCGATTGCAATGCCGCGCTTGATGCCAGGAAGCGCTGATTCGGCTTCCTCGAGCTTTTCCGCTCTATTTGACAGCGATTGCGTTGATTGTAGCGTATGCGATAGGATTGGGAGCGTGACCATTGTTCAGAGAGTGTTTGATTCGATGATTTGTAACAATAGTAGAGCAGGAACGAATGCGAGAAGCTGGAAGGAATATGATATGCATCTTTTGTTTAAGGCAGCTAGCTAATCGAAAGACTTGCCGTGAAACATCGGGCAGGTGGCTGCGGCGCAGCTGCGTGAATCTGGACAATATGCTGCAATCACGGCCCTTGTCGCTCAAACCATGTGGGAGGTGGCTTTGGCGGTTACAGCAGACATGGGGGCGGGAATGCGCTCGTCTGAGCCAACCAAATGTCCCCACACGAGGCAGTGCTGCATGCTTGGAACCCCAAATTATGCCTGCGCGACGGCGTTGCGACAATCTTCAGGTGGTTGGGAGTAAGAGAAACCATCCTTGTGCCAGAGGTAAAAGGCCGAAAGCTACCATGATGGGCGAGGCGGTGCAGTGGCTACGACATTGCCATGTGCGATGCGAATAGAATCATGTCCCAAGATTGTGACCAGGGCATCCAATATCGACCCCATATCACATTACCGCATCTCTCGGGCTAGGCGTTCTTCACCCACAAATCCCGAATTTGACATCACATCCCCGTCCTTTTGGGAGCCGCTGGGCCCACAGTTATTTTGTTTTCCGTGCTTTCTTGATTATTAGCCTGTAGTGGGCCTGCAGATGTATCAGCCTCGCTGTTCGCCTACACCCAAACCATGCTCTAGTCCGCAGTGTGGAGCGATCATTATGTTATCCACCCGCCCCCGCCTGCACAAGCTATCGGGTAAAGCTCACCGCAAGCTTAGCGACAATGCGTCGCCGGTAGTTTGGAATGTGCTTAATGCTGTTATGTCGCTCTGGTATAAAGTGAGCATAGTCTCTATCGGAAAGGTTAGTGAGAGGCGGTCAATGAGATTCGACTTAAAGCTTGCTTGGATATACTGAAAAATGATTTTACTTCAATACAGTTGCTGTATGATCGTCGTTATTATCTAGTCGTCTCACAGCAGCACGTCAATAACCTTTCCCTTGGTGTACCGCTTCTCCACCGCCATACCAGAGAGTACCTATGCCACAGTGTAGTCCCTTCTCCTGTCCCAAATTGAACTCTCCTCCATCAGGAATCTTCCCATCGTTATGCTCCGGCCAAAACTCCTTCTGGAGCCAGTCATTGATCTCTTCAATTTTACTGACCAGAGCCTTGATCTTTTCCGGATCGGAGGCGCATTGTTCGTTCTCAAAGTCCTTGGAATAGATGAACCGGCCGATGGTAAGATGGCTTGAGGGCACGACATAGCGAGAATCGACATTTAAGCCTGCATCGCGGCATAGAGAAAACATATCTCGGCGGAGGTGGTGGTAGGTGAACTTGTCATCCTCTAGGGTGCGACCGTCATGCAGTCCTTCTCCGGCCGCCGGTACGAAGCTCAAAGCCAGCGCTGAAGCATCGTAACCAATCAAAGGCTTGATAAGACGCGCGCGGTGGGCATAAGTGTAGTCGGTCATGGCTGGGATCTTGTCTCGCACACTATCCACTAGCTTTTGGATCTCCGGGGCAGTCTTCGAGTGCGTCACTTCCAAAGCCGTGATATGGAGGTTGTCCCGCGGCATAAGCCAGAGGTCTTAGTACGTCAGCTTGTATATTCTCGTTAGTTGCTGGTTGTTACTTACTAGGCGCGACGGTGCGTAACTCTTGCTGCACTCGATGTATCAAGTCTTTGACGTTGTGCGTTGGCCGCCCCCAGAAAACGAAGCAGTTACGCGGATCCTCGAACCCAGGTTCGATAGTGGGATCGCACTTTCGCAAAAGAATCGGATCTATAGTGACGCCAGGGAAGTCTTCTTGAAGCATTTTGGCTTTTTGCTGAGAGTTTCTCGTGGTACGGTGTAGCTGGTACTTTTCTTGGATCCTTGCCTACGACAGCTGCTCAGCATGCTAATGATTCAACGTTGGGACCCTCTTACTGGATCGTCTTCACAGGCTGCAATCAATGCATCGTATGGATTGCTAAAAGCTGAAGTTGAGATACCGCTAAGGTCCTCGAAAGTGTTGGCCTGATTCGCCGGAGCTGATACGTTGCTGGACATGATGGTTCTCTCAACGATGTGATGTATTCGGGAAGCGGCGGTAGTAGTGGATCAATTGCAATCAGTAGCACTTGTACTTGTACTTGTACTTGTACCTGCTCAACTCCGGCCACACAAGATACGAGGTGTACAGTCTGAAGGGCGTGGAAAAAGGAACAAGCTAAGCAGGCTGCAGGTACTACTTGACTCGTCCATTGCCGTACCAATACCCTCCCCACCTAGGTAACCTATCAGCGTCATGAGGCTATGCCTACTTTAAACAGCCTGCTGCATGTTCTTGCTCTGGGCTTGCTAGCTTGGTAACAGACAATAATTTCAGCTCTATCACTGACCCACAATTGGTTTGAGTACGTACTTGTGTTGTAAGTCGGTGGTGCGGGGCAGTGACATGGCGGATCTCACCCACGTGCTTTCGCTCTCCAACCACGAACGCGTCGACGCGTACGTATACCGAACACTTCATCAACTTTTCTTCTTTTGTTTCTGAAAATACCCTCGCTAAGCATACCAATTGACTTAGCCGCGCATTTCCTGGCCATTATCCTATCTAATATTCACAATATAGCTCTCGAGAAGAAATGATACCACAATGAAATACCAATCTAACATATACTTTCTGCGGAAATCGGAGTGTTCAAACAAGCTTTTATTGAACGAAACTTTCGGTCTTAGATCATATCTAGAGACATAAAGGATTTTGTCTGCAGTTTTGCGACCATATTAGCAATCGCCAGCGTGCACTAACCGGTATTAAGCATCTTTTGCTCCAAGGCATGCCTCTCACCACACTCATATTCGCCGATGAAACTCAAAAAGATGTACGGAATCTAGCGAGAAATCCCATTTCCACTACTGTTATTGAAGGATCTATAATGTCGGCTCTAATCAATGATTCCAGAGCTTTTCTGTCGTGGGTTTGACTGCTCACCATACACGGTTTGCAAGAGATACTAAAGTTGCACAAGCCGAAATCATCATGCAGTCCAGTCTCGTACAGCGAAATCTACTGGAGCCAAATGCTAGTATTGCAACAGTATCATTTTCACTCCGACCTGCTTGCGCAGCGCTCAATTGAATTCCTTGCGAATGGATGATCCATCAGGAACTTGGAGAAATAATAACCATAACAGAGACGGAAAAGGCAATCGATGCGGAACTAGGCAAGAACAGAGCTGGAACGATATGTTCGTGGTGGTATATTCACCAATTTACCTTTTTTTTCGTGAGACTGTTACCACAGGGCAAGTTCAAAGCGAGTTCGATATGGACACATCTGAAACCTTACTCGAAAAAGCAATCGGTTCTTAGTAACGAAGCGTTCTAACCTGATGCATTCTTTTGAAGTCAGCATTGCTCTTTAGGAACAAATGTAACGTATGAGGTATTGAAATCCTGTTCAGAAAAAAGCCACAACAGCTATGCAGCACCTGAGTTAAGCTAAAGGTGATGATATCTGAATTTGAGGACTTGATGCTTGGTGAAATGGTGGTGGAGCCGGATTGTATGAGCGTGGATGAGATATGCGATGGATATTTGTGGTTTGTCATGGGCGATGTGGCGTTGACAATGGCACGTTAAGGGACTGAGGTCATTTCGGTGTCCGGTAGTTCTGCTTCTTTCATACGTACTAAATAGATGCTCGCATAAGAAGGTATCAAGCATGATTGAGCATGATAACTCCTAATTATCAACCGTCTTCCACATTTCACAGCTAAGACCCTTGGTTTGTTTTCTTGGTTGTCCTTCCTTCTTAACATGGTCACCAATTCCTGTCCCTTTCATAGCCTACATCTCCCTTCTTTCTCTTTCGGCAGAAAAGACAACTAAAGCACAAGATCACACTGTGGAACAGCCCTTTTTTCTTTGAATGGTACAAACGTTGGTCGCGAAGTGAATTTATTTTGAATAAACTTTGGTCTTTCGCAGATGATATCAAGGGAGGAAAAAAAAGGTAAATTCCGTCTGTTTCGCCAAACGCCTCGCCATATGCAACATCTCGTGTCGATTTCCTCACACCTTTTCGTGACTGCTTTTTAAATAACCCATCGGTAACTAGCATAACGACCTGCTGTCTCGGACTTTCGGATAATCTTGACAACAGCGCCTCTCCTAAGGCCCAGGTACTTTGCAACCGGGTCCGTGGACTGAATCCGGGGTAGTTGAGTCTGCTTCAAACGGTATCGTTGTAGCAGCTGTTGCTTCTCTTGATCGCTCAGCAGCACGTGCTTGGGTACAAGCTCGTGCTTTGTGATGTTGACCAGCAGGTCCTGCTCGACAAAGACCTCTACGCCGCCCTTGGGACCGTCGGTGATGCTCGTGGCGCCGCGGAGAAGTCGAATAGCCATACCGGTCATGGCCTTGACGGTGACCATGATTCCGGAGTGGAAGGAGCCGTTGACCAGATGTGCCATGTACTCGCGCAACTGCTTCATGCCCACGTTCTCGTCGGCATTGAACTCGACCCAGATGGTACCGATGCTGGGGGTGGGGTTGGGATTCTTCTTGGTCGGGGCGTCGGTGTACTTTGCGAGCATTTCCTCGGAGGGCTGGCAGGAAAAGTTGAGGCGCGAGCGGCTGCGAGCGGGTTAGTGCTGGCAAGAGGTGAGGGTGCTGCATGGTGCCTACTCGGGCTCGCCATCTTCGCGCGCATATCTCCGTGAGAACTCTTCGAGCGACATGGTCATGTCATCCTCAACCACCATGTAGCCCTTGAATCGAGTCAGCGCGCAGTCAGGCATTGCTCACGGCGCAACCTACCCGGTCGTTCATCATCTCCTTGGTGGTGCGCCAGACCCTCCAGAGGCGGATCAAGCTTGGGCTGTACCTTTCGCCGTCCATGTTTACAATATCTGGGGTCGGAAGAGGGGTTCGGATACGAATGTGGTGGGGAACGTCGGCGCGAGCGTGGTTGAGGTTGTGTCGCGTCAAAGAAATCTACAGAAGTTCCAAAGGTTCAGGCTTGGCGTGCATATGCGCTAGCAGCGCTAGCGCCGTTCTTGAGCTAACCCCACCAAGTGCGGCCATCTCGAGCACGAAAGCATGGCCTCGTCAAACGAAATCCCCAACCTCAAGACGCTTCTCGGCCAACGTCGCGGGGGGTCATCAAGAGGAAGAGGATCTGGAAGAGGCGGATTGGGACGTTCTAGCGAAGAGCGGGCACAGATCTTGGACAATGCCGTCAAGGGTACCGATCAAGATGCTGCGGGGAGCAGGGTGAGTTGTGTAGAGCTGGGATATCTCCACGACCCATATGCCAAACTGTTCGCAACACAGCCGGCTACCAGAAAGCTGCCGCTGCTGAACAGAGGAACCTACGTGCGCACGTCGGCCATCGACCTTCTCGTCACCAGATTCCTCGACACCAACCCTTCTGCGCCAAAGCAGATTGTTTCGCTCGGTGCTGGCACTGACACACGCTTCTTTCGTCTCCTCGACCGCTATCCGCAAGTGCGACTGATATATCACGAGATCGACTTTCCTACAAACACGTCTTCAAAGATTGCCGCCATACAAAGGCAACCACTGCTTCACAAGAAGCTACTGCATATGCCCTCCAACTCGGACTCGTACCATTCAGACAACTACAACATCCATGCCCTTGACTTACGCTGCCTGGCCAATCCAACAGATAAGGCACCTCTGCCTCAGATACCGAACCTGGACGCCAACATACCTACCCTGATTCTATCAGAGATGTGCTTGGTCTACCTGCAGCCTGCTACAGTACAGTCAATAATCTCGTCGCTGTTGATGCACTATTTGCAGCCCACGACGCCTGCTTCCCTTGTGCTCTACGAGCCGATTCTACCGCAAGACGCCTTTGGCCAAACCATGATCTCAAACCTTCGGAGTCGTAACATATACCTTCACACATTGATTGCGTACCCCAGACTCGAGGACCAGCGCGCACGTCTACAAGACTACGGGCTGAAGACTGGAGCAAAGGCAGCGGACACGCACACGATTTGGCGAAGATGGATCGATGATGAAGAGAAAGAGCGCATCGCTGGTCTAGAGTTTCTCGACGAGCTGGAAGAACTTGAACTGCTGTTACAGCACTACTGCATTGCATGGGGTTGGAGAGACGGCCAGGAAGATGTCTTCTCCAAGGCATGGGAAGACATCAAAGAGTAGATTTTGTAGTTTTTATGAATTTGTACAACTATGGATACTAGTTCCGATGGTCAATCGTAATTATGCACTACCCTGCGTTACATCCAAGTTTGTGATGCGGTGGTTGTAGAGTAAACACCAGCACGTGCGCGCGCGACAGAGGACCTTACACGCTAAGCCCTGTCCGACGGCTGTGCTTGGAACCCTCTCGTCCAACGTTGCGACAACAAGGACTGCACACCACCCACTCTTTCTAAATCCCGTGTCAGCCTGGTAGTGAAGGGACCGTACCCAAATACATGCCATGGCCTAATCCCGACCGTTGATTTCACATCTCTACTAACTTAGCTTCACCCACCTTAATTCCAGTACAACAAACAAACAACGGTCATTTCCACCATGGCTGTACGCAACACGAACCAGCCATCCTTCAACTTCCTCACCGGCGAAGAGGAGCCTGCGCCTGCGCCTGCGCCAGTAGTTGCGAAACGAGAACCTCTACGCGAAACCTTCCGAACTACATTGAGAGCCTCACAGAATGCGCCACACACGGTTGTACCCTCCGATCCTATCAATGAAGACCTCCGCGCGCAGCTCAATACGCTGCGATATGAGCTCGAGACGGCGAAGCAGGAAAAGGAGATGATGAAGTTAGAGCACGCACAAGAGCTGCGAGACGCCCAGAACCGCGCCGACACCGACTTTCGAAAGGCCCAGCAAGTTGAGGCTTCGAGCACTCAAACGGCCAAGAAATACGAGGCGCTTTCAAAGGAAATGGCCGAACTTCAGACACGCACTGCAAACGAACGACTAGCATTGGAGAGGCGATTACGAGAGAGTCAAGAAAGAGCGCAATCGATACAAGAAGAGTTTGACGAAGTCAAAGAGGAATTGTCGACTTCGCAACGCCAGAATGACCACAGATACAACACTCTACAGACCGAACACAAGAAACTCAAGGAAAGCATGGAAGAGGTGCAGGCAGACTTACAATCCAAAGTCAACGCGCTGCAGAATACCCAACGAGCGCTCGCGGAAAAGGAAGAGGAGGTTGGACAGAAGGAGGCCGAAATCCTGCGCCTCAAGGCTATTACAGGGGACGCAGAGACGCTTGCAGTGATCAAAAGGGAGCTCTCCGATCAGGTTGCACATATTAAGAAGCTTGAAACCTTGACCAGGGAGCAGAATGCCGAGCTGAGGCAATACCGGAAACAGCACAAGGCTATCGAAGTCGTAGAGGAGGAGAAGAGATCACTACAAAATAAACTGCGTATGATGGACGACCTACAGCGGCAATTGGGTGAGGCGGAATTGCGGAGACAGGTCCTTGAGGAAGAGCGAGACTCTTGGACTTCGTACTTGGAGGCTGAAGCCGAGACACACGGCGAGGTACTCTTCGAAACACCACAAGACCTTGCGCGGGCTTTCATTCAAGAGCGGATAGAGAGAACTGACCTTCTCAACCGGTTGGGCGAAATCAAGCCAGAACTTTCGGTCAGAGAAGCAACCATTCAAGCACTTGAGGAAGAAAAAGCCCAGCTACAAGCAGAGATCCAGCAGCTTAAAACAGTCGGAAGTACAAGTGCAGCGAACAGCGCCGATGCAAAGGCTCGAGCACGTCTAGAGCGACAAAAGGCCCTGGCAACCAAGGAGGTTGAGTTTCTGCGTGCTCAAGTAAAGGCCTTTGATGATGAAGAACGCGAAATGCAGCCTGACACATATGACCAAGCAAAGTCTGAGCGGATAAAAGAGCTCGAAGATCTCGTAGATCAGTACCGCAAAGAAGTCGAGACTCTACAAAAGGAGTTTAACAGTCTCGAGAAGCCCGTGTCCGCAGCAGCAGGCCAAAAGCGCTCCCTGGAGACAGACGAGAACGAGGAACGCGTCGGCGAACTACGACGAAAGAACCGAGAACTACAAGACGACTTCCACGCACTACAAAAGAAGATGAAGATCGTCGAGTCCGAATACACAGCCCAACACACCCAACTTAAAAAGCTCAAAGAATCCTCCCGCACCCGCGTCCTAGAACTAAAATCCAACCCCACCGCCGACGCCGAAGCCCTCAAACTAAGCACCGTGCGTACCCTCCGCGAAGCAAACGCCCAACTCCTCGACCAACTCGAAAACGGCAAACAAGCTCCCTCAACCGTGCCCCTCGCCACGCTCGACGCCGCCCGCGACGAGCTCGAAGAACTCAAAGCGCAACTCGCCTCGTCGTCCAAGAAAATCGTCCGCCTCAAGCAAATCTGGACCGCTAAATCCCTCGAGTTCCGCGAGGCCGTGGCATCCATCTTGGGCTGGAAACTCGACTTTATGCCCAACGGGCGCGTCAAAGTTACCAGCATGTTCAAGCCTGCGGATGAGGAAGGGGAAAACAGTATTGTGTTTGATGGCGAGAATGGGACCATGAAGGTGAGTGGTGGGGAGCAAAGCGTTTTTGCGGGTGAGATTCGCGATCAGATTGTTTATTGGGTCGAGGGTAGGAAGGAGATTCCATGTTTTCTTAGTGCGTTGACGCTCGAGTTTTGGGAGCGGGGGCCGGGGGGACAGACGATGCATGGGTGATTTCGTTTCGTGATTGTTGTCGGGTTTTCCTCTGGTGGAATAGGGAGATTATATTGAATGATATCCATGTTTACTTTCTCTTTCTTCTTCCTCTTATCTTTGATTCTACACGACCACTTTTTTTTCTTTTACAGATATGGGGTTCTTCTTCTAGGACATATAATCATACCATTCCCAACCTTCTCATTTCCCGCTCTACGTTCTGGTTCACTAGCGCACTCGTGCCTGAGTCTCTTGCTTCTCTCGCCCTATATGCTTGCCCCCGTCCCTGTCCTATCATCCCACGATCACGGCCTTGGTCCCCCTTCCACCACGAAAACCAGCCCATGACCCAGCACCATACGAAAAACGTCACGGCTAGGAAGTCGAAGCAGAGTAGCGCTGCGGTGCTGGGGGTGATCCACATGGGCTTTGCGACTTCGGATTGAGACGGAGGCGTGGTGTGTGAATGCGACTCCTGCTCATCACCCCCGTTGTCTTCTTTCTCATGTGCGACTGTGCCCGTTGGGGCAGATGTGGTAGTACCCGTTGGTATATTCAAAGTCGGAGAATCTGAAGGCTGATATCTCTCCTTACTCAGGTATGCGTTCATTGTTACTGTATGTGTAGCGGTGAGCGCTGGGATACTCATGTTCGGGTATGCGATCGTAGATATATAGCGTGTTGAAGTAAGATGCGTGGTTGGCGCGAAGTCGAAGGCTGATATAACGAGCGTGGATGTAGTGGTTACTGTAACATTGGTAATGTCATGCGCGAGTACCGGGGTGGCTGCGTAAAGAATGGAAAGCGAGAACCCAAGGAGCGTGGAGATGGTGGTCATGACGAGCTACAGTGTTTGTGGTACAGGTCTTCTTTGTGTCGATTTGCTCAGGTGTTGTTTGGAAACGAATGGAATGCTACGATTTGCAGCGAAAGACAGATGAACAATTACGAAAAAGACAGGCAATGGGGTAACGAGAGAATTAAAGACGACGCAAAAGAAGATTGCTCTTGTACATAGAAATGTCGAGTGAATGAGCGGACAATACACGTGATTCGCTCAATAGATGTTGAATTATAGCGAGAGGGGTGGCTTGGTGAAGGCGGAAAGCAAGCCACTGTTCTAGTAGTCAGTGAAAAGAATAAAGCCTCTCATATTTACACATTTACACAAATCCTTTTGCCTTCATCTCAGGAAACAAAACGCCAGAAAATCCCGCCAAAGCGTGCGCACATGTTCTCGTCATGTCATGTCTCATCATTGGGCCTTGTCCCATGGCAGTGCGAATGTAGACACCCAGTCCGCGACCTCCTTCTTGAGCTCAAGAATTTCGGTAATGTCTTCACCTTCACCAACGTATTCCTTGAAAGCCGCGACACTAGTAGGGTTCTTGCGTCCACTCTCTTCGGCCTTCTTCTTGGCTTCTTTGTCTAGCTTTTGGGTAATGCCGACTGCACGATGCACAACGTCAGCTACGCGCTTAAAGTCGGAGGCTTGGAAGCCACGGGTGGTCATGGCCGGTGTACCAAGACGCAGGCCACCAGGTTTCATGGCTGATTTGTCACCAGGAACAGTGTTCTTGTTAGATGCGACGCCAACAAGCTCAAGGATGCGCTCTACACGTGCGCCGTCAACGCCGCGATCCTTGAGATCGACAAGGACAAGATGGTTGTCAGTGCCACCAGAGACGATGTTGTAGCCCAGACCGCCGTTTTCCTTTGAGTCGCCAAGCCGTTGTGCGAGAGCCTGTGCGTTCTCCAGTACTTGCAGCTGGTAGTCTTTAAACTCCGGGGTTGAGGCCTGTTGCAGGGCTACGGCAAGAGCAGTGATTGTGTGGTTATGGGGACCTCCCTGGTGACCTGGGAACACTGATGCGTTGATGGGGCCTTCGAGATCATATAGTTCCTCTTTTCCTTTCTTGTCAACCTTCCTTACACCCTTGCGGTAGAAGATCATGGCACCTCGCGGGCCTCGCAGAGACTTGTGGGTTGTGGTGGTGACGATATCGGAATGAGGGAACGGAGAGGGAATAACGCCAGCAGCAACAAGACCTGAAATGTGAGCCATATCTGAGAGTAGGTAGGCACCGACATCGTCTGCCAACTTGCGCATGCGCTCGTATTCGATCAATCGACTGTATGCCGATGTGCCAGCAACAATAACCTTGGGTCTGTATAGATGGGCCAATTCAGCCATTTTTTCGTAGTCGATAATGCCCGTCTTCTCGTTTAGTCTGTATGGGAGGGTTTCGTAGTACTTGGAAACGGCAGAAATCTTCTTGGTAGGGGTTTGGTAGCCATGTGACAAGTGGCCGCCATGTGGCAGGTCGAGACTGAGGATACGGTCGTGTGTATTTAGGACAGCTGAGTAGGCATAGAGATTCGCGGGAGATCCGGAGAGAGCTGGTGCAGGAATGTCAGCTATTATGTGGTTGTTACTATGATCGCGACTGACTCACCCTGGACATTGACACCCCACTCGGCAGGGTTCAGACCAAAGGTCTTCAGGGCCCTCTCCTGGCATAAGCGCTCTGCCTCGTCAATGTGCTCGTTTCCTCCGTAGTATCGCGCGCCTGGGTATCCTTCCGAGTATTTGTCTGTGCCGAGATGTAAGCTTAGCGTGGTGCGGGGGCGGCATATAACTTACTCTGCATGACACTGCCGAGAGCATCGAGAACTGCTTGCGAGGTAAAGTTCTCTGAGGGAATGAGGTTGATAAAGTGCTTTTGGCGGTTCTTCTCCTGTAGTGGTGGTATTGTAAGCATGGGAATTCTGGCTCCATGTGCTAGATATAATAACTAACCCTGTTGATAATTTCGTAGACTGTAGGGTCTGCCTGTTCAAGGTCTTGCGAGAGGATCTAGTTCTTGTTAGTAAGCTCTTTATCTCAAAGTTGTGTACTGTAGAAGGCACCTTTTGCTGGGCATCCAAAGTGGTAGCGTAGCCCCGCCATTGTCGCAATGATGCTCGAGGGGCGATTGAAGGCGGGAAACGAGAGGTGAGCTGGCGCAGAGGCGCTCTGCAAATCGGCCTGAGGGACGCCATAGGTATTGGACTGTGTAGGGCTCGAGGAGCGTGGCGCGCAAGTTTATAAAGACTGGCTCGATGCAGCCGGACTCGTAGTCTCGAAGCGGCAACCAAACGATGAGCTCCGCTTAATGACGGAGCGAGAGCGGCGCTGTATGGTCGGGGTGGGGGGCACGTCGGCGCCGATAAATCGTTTCTCCGGCGGGAAATATTTGCAGTTCGGTCGCGCATCTCTCCGCCTCTCTTTTTCTCTTCACGTAACTAAACCCGAGATGATATGAATGCTTTGCTTCAGTCGCATCCTCACTTGACCGGCGCAAGCTGGTCGATGTGGGAGCTGCTGACACGCCCCGGCACCCACCACCTAGGGGGACGAAATTCGATATGATCGGCCTACGTTGCGTAGATGCGTCGTGGCATTCATTGCCCAAGCCCGAAGCACTTTGGAATACGGTGTTTTCGACTTGTTGCTATGGTCCTGATGTTGCGATATGTACTCGTATGTAGCATACCAAATTCAATCCTGTTATTTCACTCTGCTATCTTCCCATGTCTCTCTGTGTCCTCTGCATATCTATCTGTCTGTCTCTTTCTCTATCTCACCGTGGCCCACGTGACCGTCCATCTCGCCATCCAGGTCCACCACAGCGAAGAACCATGGATAGACGGTATCGTGTTGCATATATTCAAGAGTCCCAGGCAACCCAGTACACAATAAAACCGTGCTATTTCCCTACCATGTGGTCGAAATGGGTTGTAATTCATGTAGTCAGCAGCATCATTCACTCGCGTCTTTCTAGCGATTTTTTTGCTCGCGAACGTCACTCTAGCATATTGCGAAGCTGATCCGTATAAAAATAGAAATAACTATACTATCGTGGTGGTGTTATGAAGCTCTGAAATTGCCAACTTTATGGCGTGTCATAGATTCTGGTTAGGTGGTGGTCCGTGGAAAGAGTCGCTTTTCTTGTCCACTCGGTGTTTCCCCTTGCTGTGTCCACAACAACAACAATAACATCCGCCGAAGTCCGCCGTTTTATGAGACTCCGAGTTAAACCCGACGATGAGATAGGCTTAGCCTACCTTGGTGATGACCTCGGCATACCCCAGCTTCTCCACAATTGGGGCTGGTGCTTGCAGTCAGCGCCGAACAGGAACAGTATCCGGACGAACTAACGTCATTGTGGAAGTCGGGGTAACGACTTAAAGTCTCAGGCACTCGCGCGCGTCTCAACACCTTCCTGCACTTCGAATTGAGGCTGAACAATAGGTGAGTCCCTGCAGGGCCTCCAAAGCTTGGCGCATAACTGACGCGCAAGCAGAAAGTACTCAAGATGCCCTTCTATCCTCCACCATGGGTTCCAAAGCTCCCATTCGATCCGCCTGATTCGATCACTATCTCCGACTTCATGTTGGATGAGAACTATGGTCGCCATCCGCTTGGTTATTCACACAATCCTTTTACGTGCGGCTTGACAGGCAAGACGTATGAGAGCCTGGAGGTTCGAGAACGCGTCGACTATCTTGCCCGAGGTTTGTCCAAGGAGCTTGGCTTCGACCCAAACAAAGGATCCGAATGGGACAAGGTCATTGCTGTCTTCTCTCTGAACACCGTGAGAATCTCCAATCCAGCGCGTATGCCAAAATACTCACATGTATAGATTGACACGCTCCCCTTGGCATGGGCCACCCATCGCTTAGGCGGCATCCAGACGCCCGCCAACGCTGCCTATAGCGCCTCTGAACTCGAATATCAGCTGAAGAACTCGCACGCAAAAGCTCTCTTCACATGCGTTCCTCTATTGGAAACGGCACGGGCAGCCGCTAAGAACTGTGGGATCCCCGAAGACCGCATATATATCCTCGAGTTGCCAGAGAAGATCGCGGGAAAGAGCACGCCCAAGGACAAGAAGACGGTGGATGACTTCATCCGTGAAGGCTCAAAGCTTGACCGCCTGCCACCATTGAACTGGGGAGCCGGTGAGGGTGCTCGAAGGACCGCGTTCCTTTGCTACTCCAGTGGTACCTCTGGTCTGCCTGTAAGCAATGACCTCTGATGACCTTTTGCAACTATGCTGATTCGGATGCAGAAAGGCGTCATGATCTCACACAAAAATGTCATTGCCAACACGCGTAAGAGACCCTGGATGCATCAAAAGACACGAATCAGTCTAACAATGTTTAGTGCAAATTGCAACCTTCGAAAAGCCGTACCGAGACACCATCATCAACGATGTACGAAATCAATCCGACTACACCGAAATGACACTGGGTCTCTTGCCCATGTCGCACATCTACTCGCTAGTTGTCATTTGTCATGCTGGTGTCTACCGTGGCGATGGTGTGGTGGTTTTACCAAAGTTTGAGTTTGCGACTACTTTGCAGGCGATACAAGACTACAAGATCAACGCATTGTTCTTAGTAAGCATAATGTCACTCTGGACGGCCACATGCTAACGGATAAGGTTCCCCCGATCATCATTCAAATGACGAAGAATAAAGACTTGCTCAGCAAGTATGACCTTAGTTCCGTCTGGTCACTGTTCACTGGTGCAGCGCCCTTGGGACAAGAAACAGCCGAGGATCTGCAAAAGATATTTCCTTCATGGAAGATCAGACAAGGGTATGGCCTCACGGAAACTTGCACTGTTGTAACCTCATCGGCGCCGGATGATATCTGGTACGGTTCTTGCGGCTCCATAATTTCAGGTGCAGAGTGCAAGATTGTAACTCCTGAGGGTACCGAGGTCACTGGATACGACCAACCGGGCGAGTTGCTTGTCAAGTCGCCTTCAGTTGTGCTAGGATATCTCAACAATGACAAGGCCAACCAGGAAACATTTCAGGATGGTTACATGCGTACTGGAGACGAGGCTGTGGTCAGAAAGTCGCCTTCTGGCAACGAGCATGTGTTCATTGTCGACCGCATAAAGGAGTTGATCAAGGTTCAGGTACGTTCTAATACACCATCTGAGGCGTCCTCTGCTAATTACCGCTTAGGGACATCAAGTCGCGCCAGCAGAACTTGAAGCTCATCTTTTGACGCACCCCGCTGTCAATGATTGCGCTGTAATTCAGATTCCAAATGAGAAGACGGGAGAAGTGCCCAAAGCCTTTGTTGTCAAGGCAGCCTCTGTAAGCTCCGAGAAGGATGACCGCACCCTTGCGCGCGAAATCGAGAAGTACGTCGAAGACCACAAGGCGAGATACAAGTGGATTAGCGGCGGAATCGAATTCATCGATGTCATCCCGAAATCACCTTCCGGCAAGATTTTACGACGAATGTTGAGAGACAAGGAAAAGGAGAAGAGAAGACAGGCTGGAAGCAAGTTGTAGAAGAGGGAAAAATCCTTGCCACTCTCCTTGGTACAATAGTGCCATCTGTAAGTAATGTGAATTCAATCGCACTGATTACAATTAGCGCTGCTTAATCTTTGGTTACAGCGGTTTCACCCTGTAAAAATAGTCACAATCTTCGCAATTCGAACATGGTTTCAAGAATCACACTGCCTTTCGATCGTACACGCCAGTGTACCTGATACACATGCGGTAGCGAGAATTTTGACGAGAGTGGGTCGAGCCCTATGTGTTGCCCCGTCCCCACAGCACCATGGCTTCACCACTCAAGAAGACGCAAGTGTATTGTGCTCGTCGTTGACGGATCAAGGCGATTCGATCGAGATATTTACAAACTACTCGACAAATTCTCTTCATGCACAGTTCAAACATGGCTCGGTGGTGTAGTTGGTTATCACGTCAGTCTAACAATCAGTTAGATGCACTGAAGGTCCCGAGTTCAAACCTCGGCTGAGTCAGCGTACACATCTTCTCTTCTCTTACCAGGAAAGAGAAGAACATATCTTTTGCTTTTCTTTTTTTCTCGGACGAGCAAACATACCTGGTGCTTGCATTGCGGCGAATGCCACACTGTTCCCGATCCACTGCATCTAGTCCCTGGACTAGGGGAAAAAGAACAACTTCCACGTTCCATGCCTCGATCTTTTTTTTCAGTCAATTTCGCTAGCGAATCCCTTGATACATGACGGTACTAACGCCACATTTTCTTCATCAAAAAGCAACAATAAGGCTCGGTGGTGTAGTTGGTTATCACGTCAGTCTAACACCCTGTTAGGCACACTGAAGGTCCCGAGTTCAAACCTCGGCTGAGTCAACTGCAATAGCTACCTCGCCGGTAGCAAGCTATCCTTTTTGCTGCTGCAAACGTTTGTATTGTTGGGATTTGTTCGTTAGTGTTGTGTGCAAGATTGAATTTTTTTCTTTAGCAAGTGGAGACAAAAAAGGCAAGAGCCTCGGCCCACGCAACAACTATGCGAACGGGGCTGGAACTCGTACTACGTAGAATGTCCCACTGTACCGTATAGAAAAAAGGATAGTAGTCTGTATCCTCAAGTCGTGTACACACGCTCGATGTAACATGTGAATTTGTTTTTCCTCCCAAGAGTATCTATCGGCATAGTAGCCAAAACTAGAAAGTGGTGTATGATCGATCCGCACTGATCACTAAGGAAAAAAAACTAACATTCAGTACCACGAACATCCGCTCCATACGACATCCTTACTGCAACCACCACGACTACTGGTCAACTATGGCAAAAAGAATGAGGTCTTGCCCGGAATCGAACCGGGGTTGCCGGAAGGCTCCTGAAAGCAAATCAGAATCCGGAGTGATAACCGCTACACTACAAAACCGTTTCACGAGCTGTGATTGGTTGTGTTCGTTGAAGAGAGAAGAAAATATTGAAACTATATCTTTGAGTCCGATAGTGTTATAGCAGCCAGAGTAATCAAGCAACTCTGCAGGAGTACGGTGATGTTGTGGTTCAGATTCTTGAAGAAAAGACAGAACAATCCAACTAGGTGTGGATCAAGTGGAACGCGAAAAAGGTTCCTGCAGTCCAATTGCAATGTGAACAAGGATATGTAAACTGACTACACAGAGACTCACCCTCCACACCCCACGTACTATATACACACATATGCACATATGCAGTTTCTCCAAGAATTGAGGCCATTGGTAGTACAATCAGCATTTTTCTTTTCTGACGCGAATGAGCGCATTACTTTTTTCAAGTTGATGTACCATTCATTCTTTCTGTGGACTATCAACCTATGAACCACCATAATCCTAGCCCCAGTGCTCTAGTGTTTCACACTGCGTGAATGGCTAGTATCGTCGCTATCCAAAGACTTTTCCACGCTCAAGCAAGAACAAAAGTGGATATAAAGCGGATAAAATAAAGAAGCAGAAAAGCAAAGATTGCCATGTCGATAAGCCAGTTAAAGAGAAAAGATGGTGGCGACGAGCTCCTGTTTTGGGTATCAACAGTGTACAGCAGTAGAAGCTGGCTTGCAAAAGAATAATTACAACAGGGAATAGAGATGTGGTGTTTGCGCGTGAGCGCGACGGCGTCTATAGCCTTGTTGGTCCGGCCTCCCCCCACCCCCTATGAAAAATGGCTTTAGAGAAACGATAATAGGAAAGATCTAGTTGAGAATGATGCACCTCAACACTAATGACGTCGAGTCGTATGGGTCATTACCCTAGTATGAGAAAGAAAACTGATGGGGCAATAGCTGAAAGTTGGAACGCGTCAAACGCGACAGACAACAAAGCAAGGCGGCGAGAAGAGATCGACCGTTAAGCATGCCCATTGTGCATGAACAAATCGTGACCGGGAGTAACTCTTTTTAGAAGTTGCGGAAGGGATCGTTACCAATGTCGAAATCGAAGAGACCAGCACCACGACTAGACTGATCACGGGTGCTAGTGCTCCACTGGCTACTTCCACGACGACGACGG